GGTCAGGACACTGGCACTGAGAATTAATCTGCTCTCCTGGAAAAAGGATCCGTCCAATTCAGAACCAACATTTCAGGGGGAGGCATTAGCCAGCTCCATCTCTTGTGGGAGGCTGCAGCAGAGCAGAGACCCATTCCTAGCTGTTGTTCCTGAAAGCTCTGGAGCCTGGTCGTTGGGCAGGAGGCTTTTCTTTGTGGGGCAGCTTCAGGAGCCAGCAGAGGTGCTCACACATCCATAAGGGCAAACAGGATGAGGAGGGAAGATGAGGTAACAAAATCGGGCTAGGTTAACGGGATAACTTCTCCTACCTGTGAGTTGTGGAGGAGGGCCCTGGCAAATACTGACTAACTCCTGTGCTGGGAGAAGGGAGACTGATTGTGTCAGGTCTCAAGGGACAGAGCAGAGACGGGGACAGGATGGAGACCCACGGCCCTGGCGAAGGGGAGCCCAGGCTGCCCCTTTCTGCAGGGGACGTGGCGGAGGAGCACTGCCTGTGCTCCACACACCCACAGTACAGGCTTAGCGTCACCTCTCTGTGGTTCCCATCCTCATATTTAGTGAACAGTGAAACTGTTTGGCCCTCAGCTTTCCCTCATCCGTCCACATACTGCCTCAAGGATCCTTCTTTCTTATTTACTCTTTGCTTCACTTTTTCCAGGAGAACTTTTCTGCCCAGCTCCACTTCACTGAAGTCTCCTACCGACAGATTACTCATCCTCAGCTGGGCAGTTCATTTGTTTTTATTAAGTATTTTTGTAATGTGACATGAACCCTTTTTAATTGGTGCCCAACCGCTGAGCTGAAATAAAGTGCTTCATGGAAGAACAGATCACCTGTTAGCAAAGGCTAATCCATGGGTCATTAGTTTGGACTGAATAAATAGAAATTAAACTACAGGCTGAACTCTATACCCATGCATACTAACCTCATCTATGAGCTGTGCTCTGCTTTCCCAGCTCAAACTTACTCATCACTGAGCAGGTGTCTACAAATGTCGATGGCTGCTTGATTCTTAGCCTGCTCTAGGAACTGCTGGGATCACAGGCTGGCAAAGGCAGGAGGCAAAGGCTGTGAGCCAATCCTGCCGTTTATTTAATAAAACGAAAGGAAAGGAATGGACAAAGACGGGCAGAAATGGTTGGCGTGTATAGCTGGGATCCCCAGCCAGCAAATGGAGGTTGCTAATAAAATCTGGTTCATATAGCTCATTAGGGCTCCTGGTGCTAGCTCCATCTGTTACACCATGGTTTCTGCAGGTTTATTGTCTGTATCCTGGCTGGATAGAGGTAAAAGGATAAGAAGTAAACAGAGAAGAACCCAGCTGAGATGCCAGCAGTTTGAGTTTGCAAGCTTGAAAGTGAGATAAAGAATTCTTGTTTACAACAGCCACTGCGAAGCGTCATTAAGCTGTGGGACTTGCCATGACGTGACGTTTGAGGAAGCACTTCACAAAAGCTGAGGTCAGTAGATGGGGGTTCCACTTCCCTGTAGTTTGGTTACTTCATCTCCCTTCATATGTCTGTTCATGCTGGAGACCTTTGGAGGTGAAAAATGCCTCTCTCTATGGGTTTGTAGGGCACCTGCTACACTGGTTAAATTTGGGGTTCCTAGCTGCTACTGGAATATGGACAAAAATAAGTAATTTACAAGACCAAGTATTTGGTTGGATAGTCGGTATATTTATAGTTCTGAAAGACATAAGTAAATGCTATAGGGCTATAGATTAAAGAGTGCCTGATGGGAAATCGGAAGA